AGGAATCACGCCACACCTTAGTTTGCACTGATGGAAGACGTCGAATTTGACGAGAACCACATGAAGCCATGAATCCATTTTGCCTTACTCGCACTGTGCAAGGGTCTGGTGAGAGTATTATGACATGAGGCATGGAAGTGGTGCCCTGGTGTTCTGAGGGTAAACAAACAGCCATGAGATACCTAGATATACTGGCAGATCAAATGCACCCTGCAATGTTGCATTGGACGATCATGAATTTATACATCGTGCCAAAAGTGTTCAAAATTGGTTAGCGGAACTTCCAACACTTTCCTGACCACCGCATAGCCTGGATCTTAACTCCATAGAAAATGTGTGGGATATGGAAAGACGCATCCGACAGCATTCTCCTCTTCCATCTAATATACAAGATTTAAAAAGCTACTTAGCCAATGCATGGTCTTCTCTGGACGTAAATGCACTCCAGAAGCATGTAGACTCCATGCCCAAACGAAACAAAGCAGTTTCCGTGCAAAAGATGGTCCAATAAAATAGTGTTTCTATTCATTGTTCAGTGTGTGTAATATCATTACAAAAAACACCAAGTGGAGCAGTGCAATAAATTTCGGAACATATTTAAATTAAAAATAAATCGAAGTTCAACCGTGGCCTAGAAAAGCATTGCCCACCGGTTTCTTATCAGTGCTGCCGGTCACCAGTAACTAGAGGTTAAACAATTTGAATGGAGTTGTTGAGTCACTGGTGTAAGACACTACAGTAAAATGAGACATATTTTAAAATTAAAATTCATTTGGACTGATGTCTTTGGGGTACACACTCACACATATATATATATATATAGTAAGAAAAATAAAGAACATGTAAAAGGTTAAATTAGCAGAGAAAACTAATTCCCTTCTGTATTCTACAAATACAGTCAAAAGTCGTTAATTCGGACACCCATAATCCGGAATGATCTATAATCCGGACCTCAAAGCTACAAACTTTCTTCGAATGCGTCTTTACGGCTGCGAATATGCGTGTGCGCATGCCCAAAATACGTTTACGCATGCGTGTTTACTGTATAACGGACGGTATAAGCTAAGCTAAAATTATCTAATTCAGTTCATGTTGCAGATTGCGTTGTTCCTTATCTTCGAATTGGATCCGGCTTATTATTTTTTGCAGATTGCTAGAGCAATTTTATAAAAGTAAGCTTGAACTTTCGATTATGTCAAATAGAATTTCGGATATATATTTACTAATATGTAAAGGATCTACAAAGCGAAAGTATGTTTCGAAGTCCATTAAACAAAAAGTGGAATTGCTGCAAAAAATGGAAAGGCATATCCTTTGTTTATCTAACCATTACGAAATCTGTTTATCAATTCCATGCTGCTCTGCGGCGGGGGGACGCCGCGGCGCGCTATGAATTGGAAGATGATCTGTCAGCACTATCCTTATCTTCAGGGCAGATGTTTTTATTTTATTTGGCTTATAATTCCTTACTAAATGTAGTATTTCATCTCGATGTACTCCGTCTTTGATATGGCTTAAATCAAATTCCTCGTCATTATAATTCGCTTCCGATAGCAAAGAAAGTAAAGTAAACAAATAAATATTAAGCTTTTTTTTTTTTGTAAATTTTGATACCCTTTAGAACATAATTGTTCTTTATTTCATAAATTACGGTTTCATATTTTTAATTTTATAATTTCTGCATGCCATCTTACCAGATTTAAACTGATGATCTATAATCCGGAAAAATCGATAATCCGGAATCGCCGAAGTCCCGACGTGTCCGGATTAACGACTTTTGACTGTTGTAACGTCTATTTGCACTGCGTCATTTCGAGAAAAATCTATGCCGTATGACTCTTATATGATTCTGATGATGTAAATGAAACTAAAACTCAAATAGCCAATAGTAATTTTACAGCAATATGAACCATCCAATCAAAATGCATTGAGAGCCAAAACTAAGTCTGAATTAAGATTTCACTCTGCACATAACACACTTGGCTAGCTGGCCTAGCTGGACTGCTGTCTATCTGCTGCTTCTTTCTTGCCACAAAGTTATAAAAAATATAAGCTTTTTTGAATAGGCACGATTAATGTGCCAACTGGATTTCCGCCACAACATGTTTACTGAGATAAAAGTTAAACCTTGACTGCCAAATTTCTTATTACCTGTGGATCGGCGTTTCAGCATTCTACGGCATCAAAATTATAACTGTTCATTGTGGATACAACCACCTGCTTTCTACTACAGAATTTATTACACGTATATATAGAGAAGGACACAAGTGCTTTTTAAGTCACCAGTGATCCGTAGATTAGCAGTCACTACTCCGTATAAGTACCAATGAGCCGATACAGTAAATACTTTTAAATTACAATGAAAAATGAAGCTCATCCGTAGCCAGAAAGTATGTTGACCTATGATAGGAGATTAACTCATACGCAAGGGGCAGTATAGGGTCAGTGGAGTATGTGATTTATGGTTACTAAAGTTCACTGGAATAGGGCAATGAGTACCTTAAAAAAAATTATTAAAATTAAGTGAAACGGTAGAACAGCACTGACTGTCAATGACGCTGGTCATTGCATTTTCAGTCGCAAGGGTTAAGCAGTAAAATATTAAAATTGAACACTTGCCAAAACAATGGATGATAAAAAGTTGGTAGCGTAACATCATATAACGTAGTCGTAACGCAACGCTTTAAAAATTTTGGAAAGTGTCTGTTAAACGCGTTTCTGACATCACAATTGTTTAACCATTAATAACTTGACATATTTACTATTTAAGTAACTCGCCCTCAGCGACGCTAAATTATGTTATATAATTTTTATTCGAGCGTAAAGCAATTATTTTAAAGTGGTTTAATTTAATAAAACCAATGTAAAAATGTCAGTCACAAAGTTACGCACAATCCATTATAGTTCGGTAATACTAAGCACTATTATTTAAAGCATTTATCCTTACCACCTAACATATACCCAATTTTCATTTTCTGTTGTTGCAGGAAAACCATAATGGATGATCAACGTGACAAACTATTTCGCCAACGTACAATGATTGAATTTCCTTACAAATACGATGATAACTCAGCAATATCGGTTCATACAAGCTGTTCCCAAAGTATGAATTCAACAAAATAAATCAAAGAAATGTGTGTCGATAACTTTAGAGGTTTTCGGGGTGACTGAAACATCCACGGCGAGCCACCAGGTAAAACGTTAATCGTGTAACAGGCATTAAGTTATATCGATGTTGAAACAAGAAAAATGTACAGTGCTCTTCCCGGGATTCGAACTCCGGACCTTCCGAGTACACGTCGAGCATGCTTTCAGTTACACCACGAAAAAATGCGGAAAGGAGAGGAAAAAATATATCATATACTAACCCTTTCAAAGGGCAACTGGCGATTAAGCGACCCAGTCGCCAAATCCTGGGTTGTGACGAATTATCGTTCACCACATTTTTAATTTGGACGCTACTGTATCATTTTATAATTTTTTGAAACGAGAAAGTTGAAAAAATCCGCAATCACCAGTATTCGAATTTCAGACCTCTCGAATACGTGTCGAGCGTGCTTCCTGTTACACTGCCAAGGCATGTGGAACGGTTGGAAGAAAATACTTTAGAATCTTCAGATGGAAATGCATCAGGCATTGAGAAAGTCATTCAAAACAACAGGTACATCACCACGAGACAGATTATGGAGCACCCAGTTATGGCAAAAGGATCTGTGTTACTACTAGTCCAACGATCGGGATACAAAAAATTTGTGCTTGCTGGATACACAGATTACACGGGTGGATCACTCGACAAGTGACATGATGCAAATCAGAAGAACGTGTGTGATTATCTTCTGAAAATATTCTCAGGAGATGTTCAAAATGCTTTTTATGGAGTCATCATGTGTGATGAAACCTGGCTGTTTGTTTCGGTCCTGCGATTCAAAAAGCAGCCGCTGGAATTATTTATTTATTTATTTATTACAAGTTCTGCCATTAGGCCCTACACGGAAAGGGAGAGATGCTCTGTGAAGCATTAAAAAAAAAACTAGTTCGTATTCACGTTACACATGGGGAAAACCATGAAAACGCCAATGCAGCTAGCCCTTTCTCCGGGACTCCGTACCAAAATACCATTGTCCACCGACTTTTACCGCTCGGCCGTTGGTCTATCAGCCGATAGAAGGGATGTGCTTTCTCCCATGGATACAAAGGTGGCTGGAGCAATGGCAAATGATCATATACGATCATATATTAAGTGAGATTTTCAAAGAATACAAAAATTTCAATTCTCTACTAATTACTACCATGTAATAGTAAAATGAGAGTTACTTTTTGACCGGCTTTAATATTTATTGGATCTCTGAAAGGTATTTAAATCACATATTTCGGTGCTTCTCGTCTTGTTTTGCCCTCTCCAACATTGGTTGGAAATGTCTCCCTAAACAAAAGCTGTAGAAAAAACTGTAGAAAAGGCAGGATGGAAGTAATTATGGAAGTAAAGAGTGATGTGAAATCCACATGCAAGGAATTTCACTTTGAAAAATGTTTATAACGAATACTTATTTCGACGAAGCATTACCCGCAGAAAGTTTCCATAATTAGTACATTAAATTGTTAACCAATGACCCTCTTTCAAGTAAAATAGTCGGTGTAATGTACGACAAATTTTGTTTTTTTAAGCGACAGCAAAAGCAACGACTTAAGCAATCCTCTGAAAATAAAAGGCCCATGACATGTTGTAATAGCAGGTACATGCTTCAAAGACTATGTAATAGCAAAAACCGTAGAGATGAAATTAACTGTAGAAACATGTCCAGCAAGGATAATTTTTTCACCATGAATTGAAACTAGGAAATCTACGAAGTCTGAGTCATAACTTACATAATGCTCAGCTGTTTCTTATCATTTAACAATAATAGATAAGATAAACTTAATATGTGACAGAATGAAAAGTATAAATGAATGCGAACCTTCAAGTATACCAAAGGCTAGGTATAAAATAAAAAGAAACTTACCAAACTGACTTCTCATCCATGGATACAGAGGACTCGGTCCACCACTCGCTGGTTGAACTTGGTTAACAACTGGATTCTGAGGATTAGGAGGTTGTTGTGGAACATGATTAGGTGGGTACATATGTTGTGGAGAATGCACTGGGCTCTGACAATGTTGAGGATGCATGTTGTTGGCAGCGCAATCTGGATTTACAGGTCGGTGGACACCATTAGGATCCTGCATCATCGCTTGAGGATTCTGTTGTTGTTGTTGCTGCTGTTGAAGTTTGCAACTAGGGAACTGTTGGGGTACCATGTTTGGGGCTTCGGTGGGAGAACCCCGGCAGTTTTGTTGTACCCCATCTTGGGGCACATAAGCGTTGGGATGAGTTAATGGAGTATGTTGAGGTGTCTGATGCGCCGGCTGAGGCATATTGCCTTGAGACTGACTGCATTGTGTATAATAATGTCCTGGTGGGCTTTGAGAATCATCGGAGTGGGCAGTGATGGGACGAATCTCCAGCCTATCATAAGGTGGGAAGCGAGGATAGGTGGCACCTTGCACAGGAGATGAAGCGTACTGTGGTTGTAAGTACTGTCGCTGATCACAGGAGTCCCCGTTCTGTATCGAAGGGGGATTATAATGTTGCTGCGGATCATTTCCACCGTTACGCATGTCAGTCAGGTAAGGACCAGGTGCGTTGTAATATGATGTCATGCTACAAAATCGCGGAATACGGAAATTTTTGGCAGATATTAAATATTGAAGGAAGCGAGAGGAAACTCCACTTTTAGGATGTGATCCTTCTCACCAGCTAGTCGCATAGAAAAAGGTAGCCAATAAGAGGCTGCGGCTAGGAGCATCTGTCGTCCTGAACCTGAAATAAATGTAAACTTGTATTAAGATATGAAGAAATAAGAATAGGCATAAATTAGAACTATGCATTTATGCATAAAATATCAGAGCTTTGGATTACTCCCAATACAAGAACATAAAATTGTATCAAACTACCCTAGTCCTTAAATCCGAAATTCTATTAAAATAATATTTTAGGTTTTGAAATTAATAAAGCGTATTAAAAAATTACACACATATCTTGTGATAAATTTACATTATCAAATTTTACATAATTTTACATTCAAGCAAATATTAATTAAGATTACTTTGTAATTAAAGTGTAATTTAACATTAATTTAGTTCATGCTTTTGAATTAATTACTCAACAAAATTTTCATATTTCTTTTTCAGGTAATTTTATCAAATGGCACCTATAAATTGGGAAATATTGAGCATTCATGAAATGTGGAAATGTTTAAGTAAATTATAACAATTATTTATTTTTCATGCACCAAAATGACAATTCATGTACGACAATAAGTTCATGTTCCATCTGTAAAGCGACTGATAATACTAATTTCAAATAAAATAAATATTTTCTTGAAACAAACCGAATTTTAAATAACTGTAAAATAATATTTTGAAGTAACCGTTTATTGTTTCAGGACATGATACTTAATATTGAATTTAAAAACGCATGCTGTCCAGGCTGCGATATCAAAACATTTTAATTGGTTTTCTGTGTTGAGAAATACGCTGCAACTCTCTTGCTTTTATAGCAAATCTTGCGAAGTTAAGCAGAAAATAATTATTTAATATAGCGAAAGCTTATTTGGAGTATAATAAATTTCTTCATGATTATATTGCAGATAAATCTTCCGAATGATTTGTTTTTTTCAATGCAAATATTCGCAGAAAACAAGAAAGGATCTGCATTTACAATTTGCTGAAATTTCCATTAATGGAATGACATAATTCTATGCATATTACTGACTTACTACCACATAAAGTCATATGTTATTGCAAAACACCCAGCTGCAGTAAGATAGCTTCCCTGCCAGAAAGTGGCAGGAGAAGGGACTATCACATTTGTCGTATTTTCTTGAGAATATTCTCGAAGGTGGGTTAAAGCTATATATACCCTCCCTGCACGCGGCGTAGTAATGTGCCTTGAGTTTATGAGATCAGCTTGAGAGCCATCGCCGAGTCGGGAGCTGTATTTTAATGCTTTGTCGTGAAACTGTCTTCACAATTACAGCCTGAAGTCTGTGCTGCTGATTGTTTCAGCGTGTTTACCGTAGTTTCTCGACGAAAAACGTGTCTCTGAAACTTTCCTGTGTAATACTGGTGAATAAATTGTGTTTTGATCTTCAGGTATTATCATCAACAATGAAAGCAGCAATATATCAGCAACAATAAAAATTACCTTGAATTGGCATTACAATTTTCTTTTTGTTGCGCGTTATTAATTTACTTTCTTTGTGTTAAGCAATATACTACAACCCGATTTAACTTTCCATCAGTGAGAGTATATGCAGAAATAACTACAATTACTTATTAAGAAATCAACTGACATATTTCAATTTAAAATAAAAACAAAAACAAAAAGGAGGAAGAAAATCTTAAAGGGGAAATAAGAAAACAAAGGCAACTTATAATAGGAATATCATATGGAAATAATTAATAGTACACACTGCACTAGCAAACTGGTTTTGAATGCCAATTTGGTTATGTAGTTACATTCAATAATTTAAAGTAACTGCCTAAAGTATGACGAAAATTATAAATAAAAGATAAATAAATAGAAGGCTGAAGGCTTTCAGATTTTATATTACGCTCTGGAACGCTATGAAATTGTTGAGTTTGTTAATCAAAAATTCGTTAAAGTTTTACAAAATATGAAATAAATAATAAAACGAATTCCTAGTTTAGGTTTCCATATGCCCATATTCGTATGTAGGATTACGTTATTCAAAATTTTATGTCTCTAGGTACCGTTGTTTTTTCACAATGCGAGAAACATACATATATTCATGCAGATTCTTCATTATTTAATTTCTTTAAATACAATTTAGGGCTTTATTATTTCGTGGCAGCAATTTGAAAAGTGATTCAGACTTTTATAGCGAACCAACGCAAACTGCCAAAACGAAATTAATAGCCCTTCTGAGCTAACGCTTCTTTGGACTATCATGTTATTCTATAACTCACTCTTTCTACTGTTCCAAAGGAAATACTTTAAGCCCACAGACTGCCACTGTATTTTGATTCATATTCTCCAGAAGACCTATGTTACTCTGGACAAAACGTATATCGCTCATATAAGAAATGAGTTAGTAACAAAAAGAAATTCCCCCCTCCCTGCTATGTGTTTTAACTATGATTAGCCATAAATCTGGATTAACCGTCAGATTAAACCTAGGATAAACCGCGAATTTGGATTAACCGTGGACGTCCTTTTTGGTTAATTCTCCCAGGTTAATCCTCCAGGTTTGGTCCTCCCGGGTTAATCCTGAACTGAATATGATAATAATAATAATATAATAATCTCATTAAATAACACAATGGATGAAACTGTTATAACAATGGATAAATCAGAAATAACAATAAAAGAATCAACTACATTAAGGAAGGATAAAAAGTAATTGATTAATGAATGAATAATGACGTTGAAACGTCACGACAGCAACATTTGGTATGTAATCAGTGCGAAGAGAAATAACTAAACGTGAATATCTTTTTATAGATTTATCTCTATTAATCACCACCAGCAACCCACAGATTGCACTCGATAAAATTATTTTAAAAAGTGTGACAAATATATACTTGAAGCTTACATCAAAAGCTTCTAATTTGGTACGCAGGATGTTCCAGTGACCGCTCTAGTAAACAGAATAGGGCGGCTTAGAGGTTCAGACTATTGAAGCAGGGTTAGCTAATCACCCCTTTTGCTTGAAGCTAAAAACACATTAGCGTTTTACCCACCGCGAAGCATCACAAAAGAATCATGCGTCACAAAGTTCTCACGCCAGCACTCCGAAAGCCAGAATGTTTACAGTTTTCTGCTGGTGTGGTCGGTCTTATACATGAACTAAACATACTCTTGGCCATTTTGTGAAATATCTTCAGCCTTGGATTACAAATTCATGCAGGTAAGTGCATTTTAATAAATTATAGTGCTATCGAAAATCCTGAAGATTTATATCTCCGAAAGTCTTTATGACGCAAGAGACGTAATTTGAAAGCTATATCGTAATGAGCATACATATAGATGATTAAGGATGATGATTCGACTTTTCGAAAACAAGAATGCTCATTTTTATTCATTCTAATTTTTCAAATTCTAACTGAAAATACACTAATTTTTTTAAAGAATAGTTTAGTTTTTTTGACGTCCAATACGTTTGTTAATCTTGTTTGTTTATTCATAGCTCTTTGATTTTTGGTGAACTATAAACAACCATTTTGACTTTGGCAGCTACGAGAAGTTCATTATCAGCTTTCTGGAGAAAATTCAATGCTCTGCATTTAATGTTTATTTATCTGAACTCTTTAAACGATCTTTCCGGTTCTACCCTATCTTTGATTTAAAGCAAAATAGAAATTTGACTATATGTTCTTCTCCCCATATGATATTTAAGAAAATTAAAGATTCAAGAGTTTTAATTGCGTAGTTCCTTTACTTCTTTTTTAAAATTATATTCTTAATTTGTGTTTCTAATGTAGACAACAAACGCTTTTATATTAAATAAATATTTTCCTTATTATTGTCCTTATTCATATGTGAAAGATTGAAAAGATTCGAGAGCCTGGAGAAAGTTTTAAAATTTGGATTAGAGAAAAATTAGAATTCATTATATTTCTATAAATAACTAAGTACTTCTAGTGTCAATTAAATTATATTATTTCACCGTATATGATGCAAACGCAAATAAATTATACGCAGAATATGGTATTCATTCGTTTGAGTTTATTTTAAAGTCGCTTTTTATTTTCATCTCATCTATTAAGATTTCACCCATGCCTAATTATAGTTTCAACTATTTCTGTATAGAAGGATAATCCTGGATTTCTTTGTAAATTACAGAAAGGATGACCCATTAAATTCTAACTTCCTGTGGAAGATATACAATGTAAGATATTCTTCTAAGTAGCGATGAAAATCACAAAATATTTTTTTAATGTTTCTGAATGCACCAATTTTTATCCCAAAAGGGCGTTAGCCCAGAAGGGCTACTAGTCTCGAAACGGCAATTTGCGATGGTTCAGAAGGGATATTAATTTCCGTTTTGGCATTTTGCGTTCGGCTGACTTTCCAAATTCTTGTCACCAAATATTATCCCCCTGTATTATGTTTAAAAAAATTAAATAATGAAGAATCTGCATGAGTGTATGTTTCTCACACTCTGAAAAAGCAATGGTAACTTGAGCCATCAAATTTTAAATAACGTAATCCTCCACCCGAATATGGGCACATGGAAGCCCGAATTTTGAATTTCGAGTTTGTTTTACTGTCTATTTCATATTTTGTAAAACTTTAACGAATTTTTGATTAACAAAGTCAACGGTTTCAAAGCGAGCAAGGGCAAAACTGAACTGAGCTGAACTGTCTCTCGCTTTGGAGATAAAATTTAATAAAAAAAAACTTGGAATCTATTGGAAATTCTAAAGATATGCTGCTTTTAAATATTTTTAGCCCAAAGGGACATTAGTCCAAACGTGTACGTGTGTGTAAATGAAAAAACACGCCCCCTTTGGACGTAATATAAATTCTGAAAGCTTTCAGATCTGTTTTGTTGTTGTTTAAGATTCTTGTTAAATCAAACCGAATAAGGTAAGAATAGTTTCAAGAAATCATAAAGATAACGCTAAATATTTAATCTAAATTCTTTCGAGACAATTATAAAATCAAAAGTTTTTGGTTTTATGATAAAAAATCGTTTAAAGAAGTCATAAATTCACAGTTACATTGTGTCTGTCAGAGTCATTACGAATCGATATTGGGGATTTTAGTGCTACTGAAATGGCATAATCGAGCTTTTGTTTTTATTTTAGCCCAAAAGAGGCTATTAGTCTCGAAATGGGATTTTACGTCGGTTCACTATAAACGGTGTATCATTTCAGATTGTTTCCACCAAATATTATCGCCCTCTATTATTTATAAAGAAACTAAATATTGATGAATTTGCAGGTATGTATGCATATTTCTTGCATTGTGAAAAAACGACAGTACCTAGAACCATCAAATTTTGAATAACGTAGTCCTCCACCCGAACATGTGCACCTCGAAGCCTGAATTTTAAATTCCGAATTTATATTATTATTAGTTAGTTAGTCAGCTAAAAACCAGTAAAAAAGACATAACTGACATAGTTGTACTTTTAACATGCTCGAACAGAATCAGCTCAGAAAAAAAAATTATGATTTTTCTTCACCTTTAAAAAAATAACTTAGAAATAATATATATATATATATATATATATATATTTCTTATTTGACCTTAAATAGTAGACTACGGAAATCACTTTCAAAATATGTTTTTAA